ACACACACACACACACACACACACACACACACACACACACACACACAGGACTTACAGCTTCCAAACTTGAGGGGGCACGCGTGTCCATCCATGGGGAAGTTCACAAGCTTCATGGGACACTCCGCATTGATGGTCAACCTGTTGCAGTCCAGAGAAGAGTTGCTCAATAAAGGGACAAATAGACACACACACACACACACACAGACACACACACACTAAATGTTAGCATGCCCTGTTGTAAACTAGCAGTAGCCCTTCGGTTGGTTCTTGTGACATAAATTCCAATCAGCGATGTGATAGAGGGCTAACACACTAAAACCCTCCTCAGTGAAGAGGCAAAGGAGCAGTTATGTGACTGTTATATTGAACTGAAGATTTTAAAAGTTTGGCAGCCTCTGCACTGCCTCCACACAGCTCCGCACTGTTTACACATTGTGAGCCAGTGGGTTCGACTTTACAGCAAATCTGCTCAATCGCTGTAAATCAAACAAAGTCTGTTTTTCTTTTCTTTTTTTTTTTCATCGACGCAAACACCAAAAATATTGAATCATGCGAAGATTCCATTTCACGAACATAAATATTGCAGTAGTAGGAAATAGACATATCGTTTGATGAAGTTATGGCTTTGAATATTATTCATCAGGTGTCGATAGACTTTATGTGACGATGGAGTACCCTACAGTACCTCATGGTGTACAGGATGGTGCCGTTCTTCATGATGCGGAAAAGCTTGTTGGGGGCCGTCATGTTGTGGGCCACGGACTTCTTGCCGTTCCTGAAGAAGGTGTCTGGCGTCCACACTTTGGTCACCATCAGGTTGTTCAGCCTCAGAATCTCGATGGGTCCCTCGTACCTCAGCCTCTGGTCCACCCACGTCTGCCGAAAGAACACGTCCATGGTGTACTCCTGGGGACGGGGACATTGGTGAAACGCAAGACAAAAATCTGAGGTCACAAGGGTCGGAACGACATCGCTTCATGATTATCTGAACAGAGTCTGGTGGGCAAAACATCTTGTCTTCCACCCCAGGCGTGTGAGAAGGAGCGAGGGTTTTACAACAAAAAGGGTACGTACCATTTCGACATCCGAGACAGGCCCAAAACTGGTCACATAAATGTCCGTCTTGACCTCAGTCACCGGGCCTATTGAGCCAATGAAACAGACGACAAGAGTCACAGTTCATTTCCCCGTTTTAAACCCTTCCGTGATGTCCCAGTCCCACCTCAGTGAGACTCCAGTCTTAAACACTCTTCATATCAGACCCATCAAACCCAAAAGACATGCACCAGCTTATCCAGAGCTGTAGTGCCTTTGCATAATGGCAGTGGGGGAAGAAAAAAAAATAGCTTTAAAGATGTAAAAGCGTAATCCTGTTTGATTTTTTTCTCTCACCCAGTGAATGAATGTGGAGGCATACTGTTGTCTATAAGTACAGAGATAAGCAAAGCTGCAGCGCATGCATGTCTGCTGACAGACGCTATGCTCGACTGACGCTGGTTCTCAACATGTCCTGCTTTAAGGCACGATGTACGGAAAAAAACAAATCTGTACTTTTAGCACTTGAACTTCCATGCATTTAACGTTTGTCCCACAACACACACACACACACACACATACATGCTGGTTATATAACCACATTCGCTTAAACGTGCGAGCTTAGGCCCCTCTTCTGAGGCAAAACTACCAGGCTTACAGGATCGCGTGTGTCGTAAAACACTAAAGCAACATGTTCTATATGATGCAAGTCTCCCACACAGAGAGACAAATACATTTTTTTGTACGTTTCTTCCTGTTTGTTTTTTTGAGGGCCTAAAGATTTTCAAGGCATCTGCTGCAGATATGTGATTTAAAGGGACAGTTCACCCCAAAAATCAAAGATACAATTTCTTCCTCTTTGTTTTGGTGTGAGTTGCCTTGCTCTTTTGAGCAGCTGCTCACAACAAGGTCTGTGGATTATCCTCAGTAACCGGGTCATGATTACTGAACTGACACACTGCTGTTGAGTTTTTCAAATGTGCTTTTTGGCGCTTTGAGGGCAACAAGCCAAGTGCCAATTTAGTCCCATTGTATTAGAAGAAAAGGCAGACACCTCTATGTCCGACATCTCCAAAGCTATGCAACTTACACCAAAACAATCTAGACTGATATATAGCACTACAGGTGAGAGCCGAAATGTGAATTTTTGATTTTGGGGTGAACTGTCCCTTTAATGCTCTACAAATCAAACTGACTAAAGGGTGTATTTGGTGCTCAATAGTGACTGTATTGCACTTTATGGTGTATGTTTGAACATCTTATGGTATAAAAAAGTCAACTAAAAAATAAAATTAACTCATCACCTTTTTTATTAGGAGTGTTTCAGAGGTGACAAATAATCAGCGAAACTAATGTATCATATCAGGTGTAATTGGTGCTTAAATGGTGGGTTTACAGCTACCTTTATTGCACTTATTATTTACCGTTTTATGGCACAAAAAATGGGCAAATAAAAGATAAAGTTGCATCTTCCTTCTTCTAAATGGAAGATGTCGTATGATTGATATTGGTAGTTCCCATATGGAAATGCTTCCTTGTGCACAAAAACACAGTTTCGTTATCTACCTACCCCCGAATCCTGGTCGCAGCCTGTTGTCGTAGCCGTCCAGAAGTCGGTCCAAAATGCGAGTAAAATTCTCCGGATAAATCCTTTCATCCTTCCTTGTCTGTCCAGAGCTTTTCTTCACACTAGAAAGAAGAAGAAGAAGAAGAAAAAAGAATCAGGGTACCATGACTTCAGTGCAAAAAAAAAAAAAAAAAGAAAAAAAAAGAAGAGCAGAAAGCTCATTAGTGCCGAGCGGGAGGTTTCAGCACCGCGGACAACGGGGACACTTCGGGACTCACCAAGTCGCCAAACAGAAAAAGTAGAGGAGGGTCTGAATAAAAGCGGGCCACATCGCTGTCGCCGTCTCCTTCTTCTTCTTGGCAGAACCCATCTTTGCATGCCATACTTCAAGCCTCTTCACATGTCACCGCGCCAGACGCCCCTGTGTCCCGGGGACCAGGAGGTGAGGGACGCGGCGGGCGGCACCGGGGGTATGGCAGAGCGCGCGCGGAGCGAGCAACTTGAGCCTCTCCTGCCGCTCCTGCAGTCTCTCCAGACGGGTACAACACGCACCCGCAGCGCGCACACATGCACACACACAAAACTCCTTCAACCCGAGCCCCGGTCACCTCTTGTCCGGATCCAAGCTGCTGCTGCCGTCCGGAGAAAGAAACATCTCTCTCTCTCTCTCTCTCTCTCTCTCTCTCTCTCTCTCTCTCTCTCTCT